GGAGCTTCTCTGTGGAAAGACCCCAGGTCCAAAGGACAAGCTCTGCTCCTGGCACTGCTTTCTTGGTGGCATGAGGTCCCCCCTCTCTGCTCACTTCCCTTTCCTTTTTATCTGACTCCAAAGCATTAGATAGTAAGAGAGATCTTTATTGAAGGTTTCTAGAGGAGACAAAATGGTTGTTACGTCAAAAATCATAACTCAAGTCTTCCTAAATATCTGCTTAAAACATCTCTTTCTCCAAAGTCCTCCTCTTTAGGGCAGCCCTAACAGTTGGCCTCCCCCCTCATCTCTACACCTCTCTCCTCAACATGGAGCCCTGGTGGCTGCTAACCAAAAGGTCAGCAGTTCAAATCCACCAGCCGCTCCTTGGAAACCCTATGGGGCAGTTCTCCTATGTCCCATAGGGTCACTATGGGTCGGAATTGACTCGACGGCAAGGGGTTTGGTTTGGCTCTCCTCAACATCACTCACCCCCACCCACTGTGATGCTCCTCCAACAACCGCCCCCTCTCCTAGCTCCTTCCTTCTGTTTGTCTCCCTTAATTTTTCTTCAGTAGAAAAAAAAAAGAAATTAGCCTTTCTCAATGGCTGCAAAAGGTGTAAGAAAGTGTAAAGCTACCCCAAAAAAAAAAAACAAGAGAGAGAACTCACATGACTATGAATCTTTGTGTTAACAAAGGCTTTGCACGCACATTATTCCTCTTGAACTCTCTTCAGACTCACAATAATCTGTGAGGCAGGTGTGACTCTCATCGCATTTATAGGTGAGGCTCAGAGGTAAAGTGAGTTAACTGAAGTCTACAGCTGAAACCAGGGCCTCTTTCCTTCATACTACATCTGGCTCCAGGGCTGCAAAAGGCTGGACAAAGCCATCAAACCGTGACACGTCACAGCTATGGCTGCCAAAACTGCCATCCTGCTTCCCCAGGGCATGACTGATAAGCTGTGCCCAGGAGACCAGCTGCATCAGCAATGGCAGGAAATGCACACTGTCGGAGACTCTGAGGAAGCAGAGATACTTGCAATAAATTCCCTCCAAAAAGACCCAGGAAATGGGCTTCCCTCTGGGACTTCTATCAGAACCAAAGTGGAAGCTGCCTCAGGTGAATTTATGACCCGAGGCTGACAGTCAGAATAACCTGAAGTAGCAAATGGAGAGGGCTTGGTGCAAGAGGGTATGTGGGTGTGTGGGTTAATGAAATGTCTTTGGAATTAACAAATGTTTTGGAAATTAAAAAAATCGGGATTTAAAGTTGACTTGCTCCAAACTCGTTGCTGTATGGCCTCATGCTCTTAAAAATCAGTTTTTAATCATTTCTGTGTTTTGCTGATTCTAGAGGTAATGCTTGCTTTAGGAAATTTAGAAAAGTCAGACAAGTATAAAGAAGCAAGGGGAGAAAATCATCAGCCCATCATCAGCCACAAGCAGACAGTGTTAATCTTTTGGTTTATTTTCTTCCGGTTATTTCCTGTGCTTTGTTTTCTTTGCATAGCTGGGATCATAATGTGTAAACTATGATAGCCTGCTTTTCTCCTCCATTTATCACAAGCATTTCCTCTAAGTATTCGTCAATACATTTATCCATTCGTGTATTGGTTTCCTAGGGCTGCTGAAACGAAATACACAACCTGGGTGGCTTAAAACAACAGAAATTTATTCTCTCGTAGTTCCAGAGGCTAGACATTTAAAATCAAGGTGTCAGCAGGTTTGGTTCCTTCCGAAGGCTCGGAGGGAGAATCTGTTCCCTGCCTCCCTCCTGGTTTCTGGTGGTTGCTGGCAACCCTTGGCGTTGCTTGGCTTGTAGATGTATCACTCCCAGATCTGCCTCTGCCTTCACATGAACTTCCTCTCCCCTGTGTGTCTGTGTTTCTGTACAAACTTCCCTCTTCTTATTAAGGACACCCGTCATATTGGATTAGGGCCCACCCTAACCCATTACGACCTCATTAATTACATCTGCAAAGACCCTATTTCCAACTAAAATCACATTCACAGCTTCGGGTAGATGTGAATTTTGGGGAGACACTATTCAACCCAGTGCCCTTGGGTGGTGCAAACAGTTTGCACTCAACTACTCACCCAAAGGTTGGCAGTTGAATACACTCAGAGGCACCACAAAGAAAAGGCCTGGCAATTCACTTCCGTAAGATTACATCCATTGAAAACCTTATAGAGCACAGTTCTACTCTGACACGCATGGGGTCACCATGAGTCAGAATCAAGTCAATGACAATGGGTTTTTTTGTTTTGTTTTTTGGTTATTGAAGCCAGTACAATTCACTTCAGCCTTTATTAGATGCAAGGCAGACATCCACAGGCAAGTTATTAGTGGTTTATTGCACCATCCATTGGCAATAATACAGTTTTGTTTAGTGGCTGAGAGCACTGACTCCAGAGTCAGGCTGCCTGGGGTCCTGGTTCTGCTGCCTCCTAGTCATGTGACCTCAGGAAAATCACTTAACCTCTCTGGCCCTGTTTCCTCGCCTGTAAGATGCGGATAATAGCATCAACCTGGTAGAATTGCTCTAAGGATTAAACAAATCAATTACATGAAAAGTGGTTAGAGCAGCACAAAGGACAGTAAGTACAGTTGTTAACTATATATGACTGCATCATAAATTATTCAACTGTTCTCCTGCAGTTGGATATTAAAGCTGTTTTCCATTTTTCACTATTATAAGTAGTCCTGCAATAAACCATTTACTATGTGTGTGAGGGGAGGAAAGGTGGATTAGAACCCAATTGTGAAGGGATTTGAATGTCAAGATAAAGCATTATGCAATGAAGAAATTCAGGATAAGTAACCAAGGAGAAAGGCTCAACTTGAGGAGATGATATTTCATTCCCCTGGATATTTTTCAAACACTGTGGGTCAAGAGAGAGTCTAGGCAACGCCAGGGGACACCAACATATATGGGATGGGCCCTACCCTGAAGGAGCTGAGTCAGATTTACCAAATTTCACAATCATTATCTCCAGCAGGATATTTTTACTGTCACTTATTTCTACTTATCACCTATGTGGACAGAGATTGCAAAGTGCCTTATTTCAAACAACAATCGCAACAGAAGGTACCAACTCAGCCAATTCTTCCTCCACAATGTCTCTCTCACCTCTTCGACCACCATCAAACTTTCCCCAGCCTCTGTTCTCTCATATGTGACTCACCGCAACGAGTCTCTCTTCTTCCAGTCACTTGTAATCAATTAGTCAATCTCACTCATACCCTAGGTGCTTTCTTACCCAAAGATGGCTCTTGATATCCCATCTCTGCTGAGGCTGAGAGTGCCCTGCTTGGAGGCTCCACTGACACTTCCCTCTATCCCGTCCCTTTTTCCTTTCTTCTGCCCATTAGCCTCTAAGACCCATCACATCTAGCCCAGATACAGCCCTGGACCCATCCCATCTCCCCAGCCTCACTGCCACTGCCTTGGTGCAGCCCCCCATCACTCTTGCTTGGGTGGTTGCAGGAGCCCTCCGGCGCTGCTCCCAGTTCAATATTCATCATCCCCACTGCTGCGAAAGTCGGCAACAGCCATATTGAAGGAGGCAGCATATTCTTCTTTGTGTCAACCCTGGGGGTTGGCATTCTTCACACCCCTTGTGATTTCTATTCCTTTTCCAGCCAGTTCTGCACATGTTGGCTGTGTGAAGTAGGAATTAATAGATTAATTGTGACATCATAGGATCTCAGAGTTGGATAAGACATTTAGTATCATTTAATCTAAACCTACCCCCCACCCCCCCACCCCACCAAATCCATGGTTCCTCAATGCAGCATCTCAGAATACTGATCATACAACTTTGACTTCAGGGTCCCTGGGTGGTACAAATAGTTAAGCTCTTGACTACTAACCAAAAGGCTGGTGGTTTGAATCTACCCAGAGACATCTCAGAAGACAGTCCTGGCGATCTGCTTCTGAAAGGTCACAGCCTTGAAAGCCCTATGGAGCAGTTCTACTCCGCACACATGGGGTCACCATGAGTCAGAATCAACTCAACAGCAACTAATAACAAGCTTTGACTTTACTTTCATGGTGGGATTTCACTCCGTCACAAAGCAACTTAATTGTATAGATCCGACTTTTTGTTTGTTTGCTTTGAAAGAGTACCGAGAGAGCTGAAATCTGCCTCTCTGGATCCCATTTCTGCCCTCTGTTGCTACACAGAAAAAGCTTCTTCCCCATCACAGTGCCTCACATCTGAGCTTAGCTCTCCTACGCCCCTAAAGTTCTCTCTCTCAGGCCAAACATCTGCAGGTCCCTCCAATTCTGCTTCTGTATAGCTTCAGATGTTCCTCATCTCATAATTCCCTCGGTTCACTCCGGTTCATCAGTATGCCTCCTGAGACCTGCCCGGAGCTGTAGAAAACCCCTAGTGCTGTCTGGCAAGTGCAGGCTGATAGTGGGACCCCCTCCTCCCTCCATTTGCATGCTGGGCTGGTATCCACGCAGCCTCCCACTCCCTCCGGAGTGACGCAGCCCCTGGTCCTGTGACTGACTTACCTGACCCTGCCGATCATTTGCACTGTGACAGCTGGCAGAGAGCACTGCTCTGCAGTGGGAGGTCAGAGGGCCAGTGGTCAGAGAGTGTGGTCAGTCAGGGCAGAACGAGGGCCCTGAGCATCTAAAGCAGAAAAGAGAAGCTGCCTCAAGGGAAATGGGCATGAAAAGAACATTTGGAATCCATGAGTACAGATCTTGTCCAATTCGTAGAAGCTATGCTGCTATCTGCAAAGAACCTGGGCTCTGGGGACTCAATCCAGGCTCTGCCGCTCATGACTCTGTGACCTGGAGCAAACCATTTAACCCTTCTGAGGCTCAGCTCTTCACTGGTAAGATTTAATTAAGGACGCCTGCTGCACAGAATTGTTGCCAACACTAGGGATAGTGTCCATAAGGTCTCACTGTAGTGTCTGGCGCGTAGTAAATGCTCAGAACCAATAGCGGAAGTTTATTGAGCACTTGCACCACACTAAGCACTTTTCAAACACGTGTCAGTGCTCGCTTCAGTAGCACATACACTAAAAATGGATCGATACAGAGAAGATTAGCACGGCCCCTGTGCAAGGATGACGCGCAAATTCATGCAGAGTTCCAGATTTTTTAATAAGAAGATAAAAAAGAAAAAAAACATGTCATTTAATAACTTTTGCAACAACCTGAGAAGGTAGACACTATTATTTTTATTATTCATATTTTATAGATGAAGAAACTAAGAGATAACTAACTGAACTAGGTCACACAAGCAGTAAATGGTGACACTGGATTCTTAACCAAGGCATTTGACTAGTTACCGTAAACGGATGGGCAGTGCTAAATTCTGGTGACTTGGACATTCAATCCAGAGGAGTAAGCCTTTGTTTATTGTGCTTTACACGCATGTATTTTACACAACTTTCCCCAAAGAGAGCTAGTGTTTTAGGAGAGAAACCACACAACACAGAGGGAACCAGTCTAGGGCTCAGTAGGCCTGGGTTTAGTCTCAACTCTCAAGTCCTAGCTTGGAGATCTCAGTCAAAGCACTTCTTCTTTCTGGCTCTCAGCTAACTACTTTATAAATGAGGACCAAAAAAAAAAGCTGAACCCATTGCTGTTGATTCCATTCCGACTCATAGTGACCCTATAGGGCAGAGTAGAACTTCCCCATAGGGTTTCCAAGGGGCGGATGGTGGATTCCAATTGCTGACATTTTGCTTAGCAGCCAAGCTCTTAATCACTGTGCCACCAGGGCAGCTGGACTAAATAAGTAGTTTCCAAACCTGGCTGACCTTCGGAATCACTTGAACAAATTGTTAAAAATATAAATTCTCATTCTCCTCCCCCCCAAGATTCGGTGGTTTGGGGATGGAACCGTGAGTATCTGTGATTGGTGATAAGCATCCCAGGCAATGTTGATAATCGTCAAGATCTGCAGGATTCTAGCTTCTCCCAGACGAAGTTACTTAACAGGGTAAAAAGCACCCACCATTCTTGAGCCATGACCAAGTTGCCCTCTCTCCCAGTGCTGCCCTGAGTGAGGGATCCTTTTGACAAGGGATTATTATTACCTTTAGACAGTTGAGTCATGGCTGCAGCCTCAGCCACACTTCGATTGATTATCTCTGGCCAATAATTAATTCAACGCAAAGAGCGGGCCAATAAACTTTGGAAAAGGTCATATTTCTCATCACTGGAATATTTCCTAAAGTTCAAATGTTTCCTGGGAAGCTACATCAATTTCCCAGCCCCACTTTTATAAGGCACAATGCAAAACTTTTGGCAGCTTCCCTTGAGAAACCTGAGTATACTGTTGGAGCTGGTGGGGGGTTGGCGACTTGAATGAACCGGTAGCCAGCTCCACCAGGGTCTAAGTGCATGGGCAGGAAATAGCCCCTGAACAATGCAGCATTATCCTTTACAGCATTCCTGGGTGATATCATAAAGCACTCAACTGTCCAGTTCAATTAGGAAGAAGGTGGTCCATAATGATTATAGACTGCTCTTCTCTAATCCAAAAGGCTCAGAGCACACCAAGGCCCTGACCTGAAGGCCCCGGAATGACTCCATGTGGAAGGTAGGGACTCCAGGTCAGGCCCACTGAGGTGGACGATTTATGGGTGTTTGTGAGTGTTTGGGGGGTGAGGAATATAGGCACATGCCATTGTATTAAAAAGGTTCTATCAAATCTGCTTGGAGACCCTTTAAACGGGCTGCAATTCTGGAGAGCAAGGTGTGCCCTCTATCCCATCCCTTTGGGCAGTTCTTTTGTGAGGTCTTTCTCAAACTTCCAGAAAGAATGAATACTAGGAAACTCATTTCCTTGCCCAGAATGGATGCAAAGATCTTAAGTCCACACCCAGAGTAAAGTATTGAGAAATTTTCTTGCAGAATCTGGGACTCAACCAATGGCTGAGTTTAGGAGAAAGGGGCACAGTGGACCTTCTTGATTAATCTGCCCACTCTACTACGTGTTACTCATTTGGAGTACTTTCAAGGCAATTTCATACGTATTTTTCAATTGATACCTATTTTACAGATGAATTGACTGAGGCCTAGAAACTCAAATGGCCTATTGCCTAGCTAATAAATTGCAGAGTTTGGACTAGAGCCCATGTCTTCTGACTCTGTTGGAAATGTTAATAAGGGGCCACAGGGATGCCCAGAAAACATACAGAGACCCAGAGACTTGAGAAAAAGCAGAAACTGCCGTGAGTCAGCCTTGCATAATGAGGCATCTGAGCAGAGTCGGGACCTCTGGAGAGGAGGCGGGATCTGCTCATTATTTCTGACTTTTCATAGTGCTCAGGGATCATTGGTCTGGGTTTCACTCTTCAAAGTGCTAGGAAAAACATAAAAATAATAAATGGAGATTTCCGAGAATGGCCAGAAGCCTGGTAGGATGTTTTCATTGTTGCTGGGAAGAGGAAGGTAATCACTAATCTCAGACAGCTTTGTGTGAAGCTAGACTTTGATAATACATTTCCTCCACCCCATTATTTTTTGGCATAGAGGGTAAGTTTCACTGCTTTGTAGATCCCATGAGCTAGAAGAAACCATAATTTTCAGTTATTGATCACTGAGGTGAAATAGAGCATGGCTAAGATCAGAATCTGGATATTCCAGAATGATCTTAGAGATAATAATGACTACCTCAAATTACTGAACCAGGAACTAAACTATGGGTTACTTAATCCTCTCAAAGACCCGGTGAGGTGTGCGTCATTATTCTCATTTGGAAATAACTAAGGCTTAAGGAGTCTGAATAACTGGCCAAAAGCCACTTGTAACTGGCAGAGCTGGGGATTGAACCAAAATGTTTAAGACTTCAAAGCCACTCTTTAACCGCTACACTCATTGGTTTTTCCTTAAAGGCAAAGTGATGTGGAGATGAGCCGACTCTTCCCCCAGTACCTCTGCCACTAGGACTTGCTTATGCTTCTTCTTTCCTTTGAAATGCCCCCTCCATCTCTCTCTCTGCCTACATAGGCACAAGTCGTCCTCCAAGGTCTAGCTAGTTCAAGCTCTTCCAGGAAGCCTTGAGTCCACAATGAGCTCTCGCTTCTCTGAACTCTTATCTATAGACACATGCAGCATTTCCTGGGACAAGTCTAATTTTGGATAACTTTTTTTTTTCATTTATTAAATGTATAATTAAATGGAATTTGATTTTTATACCCTTTCACATAAATACACATTAGAGATTTCATATAAACACACTTTGTTTTATAAATCTACAAATCAGGAAAAAATTTATTTTATTAGACTCAGAGATTTGAATTGAATCAGACCAGAATCTTTTCTCCTCAAGTAGCCATTCCCTAAACTTTGACCCAGGATCACAGAGGCAGGGAAGCAGGTGTCCCTTACGGCTCCCTTCATAGTCAGGAAACAGATTTGCTCCTCTTAGTTGACATTTCCCTCTCTGGTCCCCTCCAAGGTCTATAATTAAACTCCCAAAACACCAAGCGTCTGGGGTGTGCCTCCTCACCAAGCTGATGATACAGCTCATTTTCTAAATAACTAATAAGACAGCAGCTAACTGTTATCAATTGAATTGCGTCCCTCCAAAATATGTGTTGGAATCCTATCCCCTATGATTGTGGGTGTAATCTAATCTAATGTGATGTAATCATCTTCCATAATGCAACCTAATGTGATGTAATCAATTAGTTGAGGTTATACGGTGTAGGGGGGATCAGCATGGCTAAGGCCCCAGTTTGGAATTTGAGCTTCCAGAACTTTAAGAAAATGAATCTCTGTCCTTTAAAGGCACCCACTTGTGATATTTGTGTTACAGCAGCATCAGGAAACTAAGACACTAGCCCTGAGAGAAGGACTGCCTGCATCAGACTTCGGGGCCAAGCAGAGTGGAGTTTGATCCCTGCCTAGCTTTTTACTGGCCAGATGGTTTTGAGAAAGGCCCTTGACCTCTCTGAGCCTGTAAATGGGGTATGATATTCCTTGAAGGGTTACAGTAAGGACCAGCAATGATGCTGTTATACATGGTGCCTGGCATCAAATATGTACCAGAAAGATGGTAGTTAATATAATTATTAGCTGTGAACCCAGTCAAAAGGAGGTGAACACCTTTTTTAACCCTAGGGCCAATTCAGAAAAAAAATGCAAATGCTTGTGTCCTTGCATAAGAAAACTCCTCCTCCTCATTAACCTTCTTTTTCTTCTTTTAGGCCCATTAAAAATTAAACATTATAATTGTGGTTACCTACTCTATGAAATATGTGCATGTCACTACAAAAATTAGCACAGCTTTTTAGTCTCTAGAAGATTCATGCTCACATCTGCCTCATTGAAAAAGAAGCAGCCTGGAGATAGCTTTCTCATTTTTAACCCTGAAATTACGGGCCCTGGGCGGCTCAGAGAGCTGGGGGTTACAGGACGATCTCGTCCTGGTGGTTGCTCATCTCTATGTGAGAAAAATCTAAGGTATACAGGGGGATCTTACCATATTCATAGAATATCAAAGCTCATCTCACTTCCCTGCTGAGGAAACGGATGCTAGAGTGGTAGAAAGACCTCCCCTGCATTTCACAGTGACAGAGCCAGAAACAACCCTTTCTGCTTTCACACACCCTTCAGTATAAAGGTATTGCTGATAACCCTTGTGTGCTACTGTGTGCTTCTTGGGAGTGGAAGGCAGGAGGAGACAGGACCCCAGCCCTGAAGGAGCTCACAGGATGGAGCAGCAAGAGTTACCCACAGACGGCCATGAGAGAACAGCTCAAGACCCTCTCTGATCCAGAGCTAAGTGAGGTAGGCCAGGTCCAAGTAAGCTCCTCGTGTTACTGTTGTTGCTGGGTGCTGTCAAGTCATTTCCAACTCATACTAACCCCATGTGACAGAGTGGAACTGCCCCATAGGGTTTTTATGGCTGTAATCTTTGCAGAAGCAGACCTCCAGTTCTTTCTCCCGTGGAGCAGTTGAGTGAATTCAAACCACTAACCTATTGGGTAGCTGCCCAGAGCTTTGTTCACTATTCTATTTCCAGTTCCTGGAGTGGTCCAGCTGAGGCAGTATGTACAGTGGTCAATACAATTAATGGACTCTGGAATCACAGTGGCTGGGATGGAATCCTAGCTCACTCAAGGCAGAGCTGAGTAATGTTGA